TGGGAGTTACCCGACACTGCCGACGACGTGTTTTCTTTAATTGGAGCATCGGATATAAGACGTGTGCGAGATAAAGCAAGAGAGAATTTAGAAACTCTTATTCGCAAGGTTGGTTAAGGAATTTCTCTCATTAAATGATTTCAGCTTAAACTATTCGGGTACTAATCATTATTCTATGAACAGCTTATCGCTCGCATGATCGAGATTGTCAGGGCACCCGATTTTCCATCACCACAGAATTCTACTCTGCAACTTTTAAATTGCATTCGTGTATTGACGCGGCTTATGCCATTTATATACGAGGATAAAAATCTGGATGAATGGGAGGAGAGACTGTTCTGGTCGACTCCTGTGGATGTGAAAGATGCGAGGAAAAATATTTCAGAGGCAGAGTCCGAGAGGACTAGTAATGACGCAAGCAGTATTAAAACAACTGCTACCATTACTATTACCGCCGCTACTCCTTCTCCTACGACGGATCAAACATTCTCGAATCGGGTAAGCTGTTTGCAACATACTATATATGCTGTAGTCGCGTTTAGGTTTGTTTCCGTGATAGACTTGCCAGACAAATAAGTATGAGAATAATGCGGAATTAGTGCTTGATGCGTACGTGGATTGTGAAAACGGGTCCAGTTTATTTCACCGACAGGTGCATTTCATCGACAAAAAAAGGATAATGTTGGGGCAAATTTGTCAGTGAAATGATTGTCAGCGAAATAAACGCCTCTTGAGGGAAGCAGTTGTTTGATGAGGGGGAGGACGTGAAGCGAAAACAAAACCAGGGTTTTTTTCTGCCCGCGCCTTGATTTACCGGAACGTTGTTTTTAAGGCTTCAAGTCCACCAGCGGAACCAGCCAAGTCTCTCGGTGAGCTGTTACTGTCAACCATCGTAGAGATTTTGTTCATGTCTGGTTTTACCATTCCTACAATATCGGGAAACAACTCACGAATAAATTACGTAATCTGGTAAACTTGTTGACCCGTTTTATTATTTTTTCTCTCGAGCTCGCGTATACGGTCAATTAAGTGAATTATGCTAACGATTAATAACTAAAACTATAAGGGAAACGGGAGTTGGGTCGAACATGCCAATTGGTTCATCGAAAGAATTGGATTCGAATAAAACCGAAGCTTTGAGGTTGTTATTAAGCCTGTTCTCCAAGTCGATGTATATGGGTGGAGGTTAGTCTTAGACATGATACATGTAAGATTGTTAAGAGGGTTTTTAGATCCACTCGTCTTCATATTAATTCCCCCAATCTTTAATTACGCTCTTTCTTCTTTTTACAATAAGCAACGTATATGACGAAAGAGAACAAGTTTATCAATCATATGGTTCTCAAAATGGAGCGCAAGATAGTCTTGGCTTTACTTTGTAGTTTGTTAAATACTGCCATCAAATACAATCCAACTGGCTGGGGAATACCGTACAATCACATGGTGTTTGTTGACGGTCGAGAGATGCTTGTAACTTTCTGTCTGCAGGTACTTCTGGTCTTGCAGGATTATAGGTCGGTTGAACAAAGAGCTAATGCAAATGTGGAAGCTCGTCGTATGCTTTATCGGAATGCCCGTCCCAATGATGAACAGAACAATGGCAATAATGTTACTCGTAGTCCATCATCATTGATTTCACAAATTAGTACAGCGACAAAGAATGAGGCCACTGAACAGCAGAACGCGGTCGAGACAGCTGGAGCTACTAAAGTCGATACGCCGAATGAACAGAAGAAGCATTTGTCTGCAAATATTGATAACGCGTTTAGGCATTACACGTCGAAGTTGCATAGAAATCAAGACTTTCAATTTCTGATGGATGGTATCTACCGGATACTGAGTAATCCTATGCAGGTAAGTGGAAGTGGAGGTGAGTCGGGGATAAGCCCGATAGAGTGATCACGACGTGTATGTTTGTTTATTCGGTAGCCCAGTGTCGAGGCATTTGGAGCGGACAATAGCATCAACTGTATGATGTAATACTGATAATTTCATATTCCATATATAAAGGCCAACAATACGTATCTCCCCGGGTCAACGAAACAGGTTCGATGCCATTTGGAGATGTTGATGTTATTTTGGAAATTACTGGAAATAAACAAGGTAATTAGATGGTCGTATGTTCATGTGACCTGCAAATGGTGTTGGAAACGTAACAGCTATTTTCGACTTTAGAAGAGAACTACAAACATGTCTTTTCTGGTGAATTAGATATATTGACTGCATACTATCAACCGTTTTGTCTTTATTGCAGCGTTTTCGTGCATATCTTCTGGAGACAGATAGAGTACTTGATATGTTGATTGTATTATTGTACTATGCTTTAGAAAATAAGAATGATGAGGGTTAGTGGCAATATGCGTAACTGTCTTTGTCCAATGCAACGGCCACTTTTTCTAACGCTGACTGTTAATTCTTTCCTCCTCTATCACACATACGACCTTTTTTAAGGACAAGCAGGCCTAGTACGAATGTGCGCATTTATTCTGCAAGCTATATCATCAGAGCGCGAGTTTGGAATAAGATTGAACAAATCCTTTGAGCGTCATGGATCGCTTCCGGGAAACGTGCGCATACCAGCGTTTCATGGAACGTACGCTGACTTTATGATTATTGTAAGTTTAACAATAATGACGACACATCAATTGTTGACAGCCAACGTGTTTTCTTATTTTTTCCTGCTAACGCATTTTTCTTCTTTAGTCAATACAAGCACTCATTACAACTACACATGGTTCATTAAGCCTAATTTATCCAGCACTGATAATTACAATTTCAAACGTGTCTCCTTATCTAAAGAACTTGTCGGTATTGTCATCAAACAAGTTAGTACAGCTATTTTCTTCATTTACCACTCCGAGTTTTCTATTGGCGGAAGAGGGCAACCATTTGTTGGCCGCCTATACATTGGAGACTTTTAACAATATTATCCAATACCAGTTCTCAGGTTAGTTTAGTGGTGATTAATTTTCGTGTCGTCTGTCTTTCCGAAATTACATAATTTCGTGCTGTTCACCGCTCACCAATTGCATCAAACAGACAACCCAAACTTGGTATACGCTATGGTCAGAAACCACAGGAAATTTGAAGATTTTTCAAAATTTACCCTTTCCAAAGGCCTTTCAGACATCAAGAAACTCCAACTCGCAAGGGAAGAACGCAGACGACAAATACAACCCACTACACCTAAATCGCCTACCAGTCCAAAGCGGCCAGCCTCCACTTCAGCATCCCACCGCAACAAAATTAGTAGCCAAGAAGAAATTACTGAGCAGACAGAGCTGTTACATCCCGAAAGAAACTCTGACGATACGGAAAGGAAAGTGAGCGAGACTGGAGATGTCAACGAAGGAGAGATGTCTGAGAAGGCACGAGGGAAGTTGCCTGAAGGTGCGAGTCCACCTGAAAGGGGGCAGACCGGAGAACGGAGTACAGAGAGAGAAACCGTAGCAGAGAATGACAAGAAGAATTTAGAGAAGGACGAAAAGACTGAGAGGAAGATGGAGAGGATCGACGGAAAGGTTGAGGGGAGAACGGATAAGAAAGCTGATCTTGTGATAACTCCATTTGCCGTTGGCAAGTCTGGATTTATTCCGACCGAGGATTGGGTGAGATATAATGAAAATGCTAATTGTATAAACTAAATAATAACAATTGCCATAGTGTTAGATCTCATTGTCAATTGTCTATATGCTTAGGTCTCTTCGTGGCACTCTAATTTGCCGATAGGAAATATTTTAATCCTCCTTACTGATCTAGTTCCAAAAGTTCAACAATATTGTCTGACAAAGTCATTAATCTCTGACTATGAAGTCCTCGATTTTCTCCGTAAAATAACTCTGGTTGGCATTCTTCCACCGCCCCAACCAATCTATACCCGTCGATTCCAGTGGACAGAAGCTAGTGTTGTGTGGTTTTCAAGTGTGTTATGGGGTCAGGTATACATTGCTGCAAATAGTTATCTTGGAGTTTATAATGGAACGTATGTGAGCTTGTTCTCTGTGAAGAGTGATGTGAAAGAAGAAAGTAAGAAAGATGTTGGAAAAAGTAAAAGAGTAAGTGGAACTGATGTGGATGGAACGTCAACACCAACACCGACCTTAACATTAACGCCAATATCAACATCAACACCAATACCAACACCAACAACGACGACAACAACGACAACAACACCAACACCAACAACGCCAACACCAATACCACCAACGCCAGCACCAACTCCAGTACTAACGCCGACAACGCCAACGCCAACACCAACACCGACACAAATACAAACGCCAGGATCAACACCTGGAAATAATGATGCTGTTACAAGTGACGGCATTAATACTACGCAAAATGATACATTGTAAATTTTCGTTTCTAGCATATAATGAATAAATTAAAGTATACATTTCTGTTGAAACCAATGATAGTACAGGCGTGAACCGTGAATCGTATTAACTGAAACGAATCAGCAAGGTGAAAATTCACGGAATAATCGTAATAGTCAAGCACCAAATAAGAATTAATAACGATCTCAAGTCTTAACGGAATACATTCCCAAGTATAATATATCACGAGACAAATATTCAACCAATATCTTAGTGAACTTTTTTATTACAGTAAGGTAGCGCATGTAATCTAACATCCTGGATGACTTTTAAGAGTATGCAGGTCTTTGAACGATTTCGGATCACAACTCCTAAACTTATATTGTCGGTGTCTTTTATAAGAGTAAAATTTCGAATTAAGTCTTTTGTGGTGAAAATTATTTAAACTTTAAATTAGCTGGTCTGCATTACTATAGTAGTAAATGTGTTTTATTGAATTGTTGTTATCTAAACTAATATAATGAACGCGTAAACAACTCGTGCATCACGACTTAACTTTCTTTGATACTCTCCCATCGACTCCTAGATTGACTTGTTCAAGTCAGTTTACAAAGGAAAGCGAGTGGTAATCACCTCTGTATTTTGGTTTTTCCTCAAATCATCCCGCAGGAACGGAGGATGCACTCTTCAAATTTCTTCGTCCTCAATATCGTCGTCCATTTCCATCTTAAACAATTCTAGTTGATCGTCCACAATCCTTCCATGTCGAATTTTCGGCGAAGATGGCTCAACAACCGGCTTCAAAATCCCTCGCCTCTTTTCTTTCACTTCTTCACGGTCCTCCTCCTCGTCCCAAACAGTTCCAAGAAAGGCGTCGGGGTAACTTCGCCTTAAGGCCAATTTTCTTGCCCGCACATATTCCATTCCGACAATTTTCCAGTCAAACATGTCTGATAGTCTCTCCGTACGATTTCGTTGACATTGACGTTGGCGTGGTGTTTTTTGACAAAAGTGTAGCATAAAGTCTGTGAGTTGTTTGATAGTGTCGGTACGCGATTTGAATTGCCTATCGGCGATGTATACACCATAGTCGTTTGCATTCTCCCCAATAGCCTCTCCCGCATAACATCCGAAACCCGATAAATTGCTCAAAATTACCGGCACGCCCATGGCCATGCATTCCTCCGCTTTGAATCCCCACGGTTCGTGATAACTCGGAAACACTCCTAGATTGCATCCTCTTACAAACTCCTCGTATCCAATCCCAAGTAGCGAGTTAACCGATGAAAGAGACTCGGGGTGGAAAATTACTTTTACTTTGTCGTCATAATGATTGAGGAGTTTAAGTCGACGAAGATGATTTAAAATGGGATCCGTTGACTCATACACTAAATTATGAGTGACGACAGGAGGAAGACCGGAACGATGTACAGTGTTTGCAAGACGTTTGAGGATGGTTTTATCTTCTTCAGTTAACAAGTCTGATGGGTCTATTACGGTTGAGATGTCGATTCTTAATGAAATGGGAGTTTCGGTAATGATAAGTAAGAGTTCACTCAGAACAAAACCAAATATTGCTAACAAATCCTCGATGGTCTTATTCGCAAACGTACCCGTTGAACCTTGCGGCCTTCTCAAAAATCCTCTTCCCCACACGCTCCGTAATCTCTTTCACGCCTTCTTGAAGCTTTTTCGTAGCAGCCTGACCTTTTAAAGCATCAACAGCGAGGCTGTGACACGGAGCCGGAAGCATCAGGAAACAGACAATGGTTATAGGAGAACTACACGCTTTTAAGCGGGCGTTCAATTCTGCGAACGTTTGGTTGGAAGCGGTTTATGAAAATGAAGATAAGTGAGACATTATAGTTCAAAATCTCCAAACAACAAGATGCTCCAAGAAGCATACTAAATCCCCATTATCTCTTTGCTCCGTATACTATCATGTCTGTATTACTATATACTGCCTCCCAAACAACTTACCCGATAAAGCTTCCAAAAAAACATCAACACCCTTATTCCTGAATTCATATCGACCAGAGATAAAATAATACAACGTATTATCGAGATCAAATGAATAATAGTGATAGAAATGTCCTCTAACGAAATTGCGGATTCGGTCTTTATATCGTGCGTGAAGATCTTGAAATTCATGAATTGCTGAGAAACGTGAGATGTCAAGGCCATTTGGAAGAATGCCATCTGAAAGAAAAAAACAAAAGATGAAAAAAAAAAAAAGTTTTCGGGAAACGGGAAAAGCAGAAACAGTGAATAAGGAAGTGAAATATAGTTAGGGAAGATACGTCCTAATTTTCGACTGGAATCATTCGTATAATGAATATTCCACAATCTTCCCACCAATCCTTTTCACGGGAAGTGGGGAATTTTCATTTTATTTACCCGGCTTCCTCTGAATCAAATTTTCGGCTTCGAACGCAACAACCCAACTAACACACGTGAAAACATCTGCACAATGAGCAGCAGCACGTTCCACAGCATATCGATGATAGATCCCCAGTTTTCCCGCCTCTTCATCTGGATTTATAAATTTGAGGATTGTGCGAGGTGGAGCGTACGATGCAGTAGGGGCGGTGTCGTCCAAGCAGTAGTCCTTGGAATTGGTATTAACGTTATTGACAGAATTTTCACGTTTTACATAAAAGTTATTATCGTTATTATCAACGTGGTTGCCATTTGACTGCGTGTTAAATTTTTTGCTCTTTGTGTTATCCTTATTTTCCGTTGCCGATCTTCCATTACCATACTTGTTTTTCTCAATCTTCTTTTCCCCCTCATCCTTCACCCCTATTTGCTTATCTTCCCACTTCTTCTCACTAAAGAAATATCGACCAAGCACCGTATATGTAATGTTATATATGGTTGTTACATCAACGTGACGCTTCCGAATTAATGGAATTGCGACGCTCGCTTGCCAGTCATAGAAGTGAGATATGATTGCAGTTGAGCATGACGTAGTTGAAAACTTTGTATTAATAAGGAAAAAACGAGGTAAGGGTTAAAAGCACGCCTTGTGTCGTAAAATTTGTAAGTTATGTGTCAGCTGACCTCATCCAAAAATTTAGCAACTAAATTCCCAAACAAGATCGCATCATTCATCTCTTCATCCTTTTCTGGACATGGAATGTGTCCTATATTCCATAGATCTCCTTTCCATTCGTCTAATCTACTCTTAACCGACTTGGTATCAAATAAAATCATGTTCGGCGCGCCTTCGACAAGCCATTTTCCGTGAATAAATTCGATGCCTTTGGAAGCAAACGAAGACAGGACAGATTTGATCGCTGGGGAGGATGGCGGGCATGGTTCGATTTCGGTGATGATGGAGGAAGAGAACGGGGAAGAGGAAGAGGAGGGCGAAGGGATGGGGGAAGAAGAGGAATAAGGGGAAGGCGAAGAGATCAAATACGGCAAAGCCTGTTTGGGAGCGATGATGTAGTATCGTGACTCATATTCGCCAATCGTGACGGGCACTTTAGAGCGTATAACTGAATAGATTGCGCTGTCTTTTGGGTGAGAGAATATATGAAGATTAGTGGTGAAAGGAGACGAAAAGGTAGATTAATACGAGTGTCCTGAGAGGAGGAATTTTTCTTTTAGGCTGAATTGGGTGGATCACTGTGATTTATCTTATCGAACATTTGTTCAGATATCTGTTAATCATGTATAAGATCATTTGATGTCTATTCGAAAGTTGGAAAGTTGGAAAGTTCATGGTTTCCTCACCTTTGTCAGATAACGCCCATGAAACGTCAAATAGGTGCTCATTATATACATCTCGTAATACCATTCTTATGACAAAGATAAAACAGAGTTTTATGAGTGAGAATTTCTATTATATATATCTATTATCTATCTTTCTGTATGACGTACCACAAATAATTACTCGTTATTGATACAAAACTTTCCTGTTCAGCACGGGCATCACATGCGCTTCAGTACTGGCGCTGCAAAGTGGCGCCAACTGACCTTATTTGATCAGTACACATCATGCGATATGTAATTTACGTGATACAACAACAGCATCACTTCTTACTATAGACTCATTTACTCTTTGATTTTAATTTTTATACTATTATCCACACAAAAAGATACAACTGGGTAAGCACAAGCATTTGTATGGATTGCGTTATTTTTTTTCTCTTACGTGAGTGGTAAAAATATTATGTGTTATCATTATACTTATTAACTATAAATAGTTAATACATTAAAAGACCGTGTGATTGTAATATGGCGTGATGTTGGAAATTCTAGAAATATCTACACTCACCGGCAAAAAGTATCGACAAAAATCTTGGTGTAACACAACACTGCATAAAAATCGTCAACTTCGATGGG